TTCGATTGAGAGTTAATGTGGCGTTCCATAATACGCGTAAAACTTGGAATAAACATCTGAGATTCTGGCTACTAATTAGTATTATTCAGTCATACATGGATATAAAATTTTGTGTCGATCGATTTAATACATCCTGCACAGAGAGAAATGTTCAGTAAAAATTACGGACCTCATAATTCACTCGCCGATTACGGAATCGACTTGGAAAATTTAAGTGACGGTGTCGTAATTTTTTACAGGAGATTCAGATAAAAATGACGGAACGCTCCGGAAAAATTCCGTGACAGTTCCGTAAAATTTCCTACGATCACATTTCGCTCCGGAATTACGGAAAAGATACGTAATTTTTATTGAATATTTCTCTCCGTGTGGCATAGAGTAATTCATCTAAAAATCTTTTTTTCTAACAATTCACACATCGTCATTTGATCTATATTTTAAAGAAGTCCAGGAATCTCTGATGCATCGTGAAAAATTTATTCATCTACGTCAAAACATTGTACTTGTAATAGTGCAAGCAATTAATTTTTTCAATGAATTTTAAAAACCAAGAGGATAGAATTTTTTCCGCCAATTATTTCTGAATGATGAGAATCGCATTTGCTTCCGTCTAATCGTTGGAAGAGCATAGGGGATGTCCCCGCAAGTTTAATGTCAGCGATCAGAGTCAATGGCAAGGCCTGCCCATTCATTTCCATCGGATCCCCAGTACAGTCCCACCTAAACGAAACGAGCTCAACAAATTTCCTCTTTTCCTCATTTTTTTTCATGAAAAAATTGCAAAGATTTATTAAAATTATTTGGTAGAAAAAAATTGGCCAGATGAGGCTGGGCGTTACGTCACTGGGGATATTGGATCGGCCTTGAAAATTAGACCCTGCAATTTTCCCAGCCCAGCGGCGAGGGTACACGTAAACGAGTCGTCCGGGAACTGAGGGCTCAGTCTGTCTAACACGTGGACTTGATCTAAGCGTCGCTCGGAAATTGGAAAATAACTTATTGACAGCGATCATTAGCACTGAGGTGGACTAATTTACTTTCGGAGAATGACATATTCATGTTATTGATTTATCTCATGACTTTTCCATTGGCAACAAATGATTTGAATAGTAAATCCGAAGATATTCACAGAATAATTTTCGAACAATTTCTCAAATGGCTGAATATTTTACACACTGAGAAAAAAATTATTTCTGCCTAATATTCATTCACTTGAGGGAAGCATTTATTTTTTCAAAATCGTATTTCTGCAATCAAGTCATTCCCAGGCGAGTTTGATTAGTATGACTATGCTGCACGCGACCTTGGATTAACTCCTCCAATGATTATTCATTTTTCGTGATCTCGAACGCATGCACCGATACCATAACAAAAATTGTAGAGTTGAAACTGCAAAATCAATTTCTATTTTACACTTATCGACGATTTCTATTGATTTCCGATGATTTCCTGAAATCTTTATAAATGACTACCGAAAATGGAAATCACTTGATTTGTAGTGATTTCCATTGATTTCTGGTGATTTCTTCCTTGATTTCCAGTCGAGTGGTCCAGTGATTTCCTAAGTGACTGGCCCCTCGGATTATATCACTCGCCTTCGGCTCGTGCTATAAACCTCTCACAAACCCAAAAACACTTTCCCGCAATCGTATCGAAATATACTATTTCGTCACTTGTGCGCAAAATCCCACTTTTCACACATTGTGATGACATAGTATTTTTCATCTGTAGTGATTTTCAAGTTTTCGAGTTTGGGAAGTATGTAATACCAATTCCCAGACGAGAAATCGTGAGAAGCAGTACAGAAATAGTATATTGTGTTACAAGTGCGTAAAGAACCACTTTTTCGCACGCACGCCTAACAGATCCTCTTTTTTGTAATATCTGCCGAGTTCACTGTTCGGAACCGTAGTGGGGGTAAAGTGGTTGCTTTTGTGCACGGTGTGCAGAGGTCGTGCGTAAAGTAAATTCTCGTGCGTAAAGCTTCGCTGAAAACTACACTTCTTCCCAAATTTCAATTAATGTAGTATATTTCGTAACGAGTGCAAAAAAGTGTTTTTTGGCGAGTGGGAGGTTTATATCACGAGCCGAAGGCGAGTGATATAATCCCACGAGCTAAAAAACATTTCTTCATGAGTTACGAACAATATTTTTCATCACAATGCCGCGGAAATTGGACTTTTAGGCACGCGGAGCGTGCCGAAAGTTCACTTTTCGTCACAGCGTGATGAAAAATTTGATTCTGAGTTATTGCTATCACAGAAAAGTCAAAAGGTGCCGTTTTACCCCACTCTCTCTTATAAAATGGGGTCAGTCTCGTTTTTCAAGTCTTAACTAACATGTTCATTTTCTAGAGCCATACAATTATCATAATTGAAACCTAATGACCACTGCCTGGAAGTAACTCGACTGGGGAATTACGATACTAAATAAATAAATACTTCTTGCAAGTAAACAGACATTTCGCAAAAAAAAAAAAGTTCTCAGCGCATTTCAATCTCCTCATTTATAAACAATGTATAACAAATTACGCAGCGACGGATTTATCCGCATGAAAATCAAATTAATTTCCCTCCTCCCGCCTGGCGCGCCGGGAAATTACTATTAATTATTCGAGATAACAGGACAAACCAATAAAATCGAAGCCAATTATCCAGCCAACAATTGTTTAAACGCCATCAGTTTATTATCCCCACCAGTCCTAATTCAATTGAATCATCGCGTACCGCAGCAATCACCACCTGAATTTTGTAATGAACATTTCAATAATCATTACAACCCGTTCTCCACATCAGTCTCCATAGATTCTCGTTGAAATATTATCCAAATGACACGAATAAGCCAATTTACTATCCTAAGCTCAATTAAAGACCGGTTTTGAAACACAAAGTTGTGATTGCAACACCATCGTTAACATCTCGAGACTATCATCCCAAAGTACACAACTCAATGTTCGATTTCTAGTTTACTTCTGATGCTAGGAAAACAGACAGCAATGTATGAAGTACGTATCATATAACACAGTGACTGCTGGTAAATCAGAGACAATGAGAAAATTGTCATCAACTCAATCAGCCGCGCATCCAGTCAAGAATGTTAAAACGTCATTTAGCGGTGGAAATTCAATGCCAAGGATTAGGCAAAGTGGATTTGTTTAGGAGAGACAAATCTTTGCTTGACGGAGAGAAATGTTCAGTAAAAATTAGGGAACTCACAATTCCCGCACCAATTACGGAATCGACTCAGAAAATTTAACGATATCCAAGTATCTTTTACAGTTTGGTACAGACCACACTATAGATTCAACTATTTTCAATCATCAAATTTGTCAATCAAATTGCGTGAGAAAAATTTGAAAAAAATCATGAATATTCAGTGTCATTCAAATTTCATTTTGCAAAGAATTATTATTTTTTAAACATTTGTTGTTTATAATTAAATAATTGAAATTGTTTAAACTTTCGGAAACCTTTTTTTAGGCATGAAATCGATTTATGGTAAAATTCTGAATATGAATAAATTTGTTACGATTCCGAACAAATGATTTTTATGGTAGAAAATTGATTGTTTATAAATTATTTATAGAAAAGGCTCATAATTTTCAAAAATTGCAACTTTTTAATTAGTTTATCAATTTTCCTCCAAAAGTAAACTTTCTAAAATTTCTTCAGATTTTTATGTTTTCTAACAGTTCAATATCAAGATTCAAATTCAGACCTGCAAAGTTTGAATAATAAAATCTTTGTAAAATGTCCGGAAACTTAAGGTCAAATGGGGCTCAAATTAAAGCTGTGAGGCTTGACTACAAAAGTAGAAAAGCATTTCACTGGAGAAAAAATATCCAAAGTACTTGGATATCCTTAAGTGACGGTATCGTAATTTTTCACAGGAGATTCAGATAAAAATTACGGAAAGCTCTGCAAGAATTCCGTAACAGTTCCGTAAAATTTCATACAACTACGTTTCGCTCCGGAATTACGGAAAAGATACGTAATTTTTATTGAATATTTCTCTCCGTGTGTTATAAAGTATACGAAACTATATTATTTTTAACTTAATTTCGGTGGCCCGGCCTCGCTTGGGCAGAGTAAGAGAAAATTTAATACCAGGATTTTCAAGAATTCCTGCAATTGCAAAATAATCTCCATGTTTTCGACTTTTCTAGAACACTCAAAAAGTCCACACTCGAAAAAATTGAATAGAAAAATGTTGCGAATTTTCTAAACAATTCTATTGAATTTTATATTAGTTTTTGGCCGATTCTACACGAAAAGAAAAATCGTCATAATATCACAAAAATCATTTCTTGAGCGAAAAACATCGCATACATATTTGATCAATTTATGGTAGATTTCAGACAAGAAATCGGTGCTCTTCGGACTAAGGAGGAAGTTACTGAATAAATAGGTGATGTCTTTTTTCGAAAAATAAGCAATTTCAATTATTTATGTATCAACAACAAATGCTTTAAGAAATCATAATTCTGTGCAAAATGTAATTTGAATCACGGGGAATATTCATGATTTTTAAAAAATTGTTCTCGCACAATTTAACTGACAAATGTGATAACTGAAAATGGTTGAATCTATAGTGTGGTCTGTACCAAACTGCAAAAGATACTTGGATGTCCTTAAATTGTTCAATTGGCATATAAATTTTTTTTTAGAATACCCTTCGAATTTCCTAGAAAATCCGCGAATTCCCTTGAATTTTCTAGAAAACCTGAGAATTCGCTCGAATTTTCTCAAAAATCCGAGATATTTATAGAAAATTAAAGATTTCTTTCGAACTCTCTGTGAAACCAAATGATTTTTTGAAGTAAATGAATATTTGGCAAAAATATTTTTTTTTCTAACTGTACTCTGGGATTTCCACTACTCTGATCGAATGTTAAAACGTCATTAAGCAGTGGAAATTCAATGTCGAACTGCATTTGTTTAGGAGGAACAAACCTTCGCTGTCATCAATATGAAAAAAAGGTGGACCACAAAAACATGAACTTTATTTTTTTAAAAATTTATTAATTACTCTAAGGCACTCTCAACAATATTAAATTAATAATATTTACAGCCTATCCGCCACGCATAATCAATTACTCAAACTAGCACTCTTGGTAATGGCATCGAGATCGATCTGCGACAGGTACTCATCCTCCGAGTCAGTGTCATTCAGCAAATCATCACCGAATCCTGAAGAGATCTCCCCACACCGCTCCAAACCACTGACTTCCTCCTTCTGTTCTTCTTTTATATCCTCCTCTGCCCCCCTGTGTTCAATTACAGCTACAGTCTCGATAGCCCTCCTCTCTCTTCCCTCATCCTCACGACTCTTTGCAACATCAAACTGACTCGTATCAATCTGGTTGAACAAATCATCCTCAAAGTTGAAGTCTTCATCACAAAAATCGTCACACTCCTGCGATTTATCCAACTCTCTTCGATCCTCCTTAACAATCGGCTCCTTCGATGATGCCTCATCCAACTCACTAGTGCTCCCAGTGATCAATTTCTTTGGCTCCTCAGTAGACGATTGATCGATCAATCCCTTATTACCCACTCCTTGAGATAACTCCATTTTCTCTTGGGACGAATCGACTTTATCATCTCTCAACTCCTCTCCCCACTTTCTCATTCTTTTCGTAACACCCTTAACGTTCCTCGCCGCAGCTTTTTCTCTCTTCATCTCTTCGTAGTTCCCCCCGGAGATGGCGTCCAAGAAGGGCGTCCTCACGACAACATCTTTCTCGGAGAATGCAGCGATTAAATTGTCAGTGGAGAAGATAATGGTCCTGGTCTTGACGAAAGTTTTCTTCGTCGATAGAATCCCAACGTCCTGAAGAAGGAGAACAACTCCGGAGTGCAGAATGTTGGGGTAGTTTATTGCGAGGTCTCGGTGCATCATCCCCTCCATCGTCCCTGAAATGTCCTTGAGAGTCACCCTGGGATTTCCACTGCTCTGGTCGATCCTTTGGATGACCACTGCCAGTCTGGGGACTCTCTCGGTGTCAGAGTCCTTGATCGATGCGATGTCGTAGCCGTCGAGGAAGTTCGGAGGGAGATTGTCCATCATCCTCATCCAGGCGCCCTCGAGGAATATTTTTTTCGTCTCTTGAGTGCAGAATTCGTTCATTTTCTCTGGCGATGTCTTGGTGACGTTCGAGTCGTTCTCATCGAAGAGGCCGAGGTAGGTTTTCAAAGACTCTGGGGGGGCTGAGGGATCGATGTCATCTGGGAGCAGTCCTGCCGGTCCCGGGAACTTCCTGACGAGCGTTTTCTTGAGCATTTCGGCGGATGTTTGACGACTTCTAGGAGAATTTGGGTTTTCTTGGAGGCTTTGGAGGATTTTGCGGTGTGGAGAGTCGCTGGGGAATCTCTGGGGAGTTCTCCGGACACTGGTCAGGGCAGCCAAGGCCAGGGCCTTACCTGAAGGTTTTGAGGAGGTCTTCGGGGTCTGGGCAGAGTCTTTGAGGGGTTTAGAGGGAGTTTTGTCGGTGAATATGGTGATGAGGTGGTGTTTACGGGTGGATAAGGGCTGGTTGGCTTGACGAGGTGGAGGGGGGGATTCCAGGCGACGACGTTTCGATGGGACCTCATCGTGCGACTTTTGAGTGTAATAGAGCTCCTCACTGTCGTCTACTTCTTTCAAGAATTCCTGAGGAAATTGAAAAGAAAATTAAGTAAAGTTTGAAAACAGTGGATTGAAGGGGATGGGAAGGAGAGTTTGTTATTCGTGTGATTTTTTATTCATTTTTTTGTAATTTTGGAAGTTATGTATGTGACTGATTGACCGACGATTGATTTAAAGTAGCTCTACCCTTCGGCCGGGCGACGTTGTACTTTTGAATATTTTCAGTTCTTTAATTTTTTAACTAAATTGCATGGAAAAAATTTGAAAAAATTCATACCCAGTCAGTATTATCTAAATTAAATTTCGCAATATATTGATATTTTTTCAAACATTTCCCTCTTATAAATAAATAATAAAACTTGTTTGCACAACGGTGGATTATTTTTTATGAGATGGCAAAAAATTCTTGATTTTTTCACATCTAATGTAAAAAAATTCAGATTTTAATCTTCGATTAGAATGGAAATGTTGATTTTCACATAAGACTGGGTTAAATCCTGATTTTTAAACATTTCTTCTTTGAAAAACCAAAACGATAATTAAATTGAGAAAAAAATTTGAATTCCGAATCTAGTCGAGTTTTCTGCAATTTTTTTCGCAGTTTTCAATAATCTTTGAATTTAGCGTAAGGGTAGAGCTACTTTAAGTAAGTTCAATGCCCCATTTCTGTTCATATCTAAACTCTGAAATAATCCATCGACTCGAATTGAGGATAACCCGAACTCTGATAAATTCCACGGTTCGACAAAATTCGGACGTATTCGACCTTGAAAACGAAACGAACCCCTAATTAGAGATATTTTAATGCTGATTTTTAATTGCTTTTGAGAAATTTCTCTACCCAAATTTCTATTCAACCGTTTCATTTCTTACTAATTCAGTAGTGAAGTGGTAAAACGGTTCAAGTCGACTTATCTTCCAGTTCAGTTTTTGAGCAGTATTTCCGAATCTAAGGGAGATAGCGAAATTTTCATAATTACATTTGTTGTAGCTCTCAATCGGCTCTACAAAAAAGGTTATAATAAAAATTTTGCTATCTCCCTTAGATTCCGAGATATTCATTGAAAACTGGTCAATAGTCAAAATTAACTTATACCGTTTTACCACTTCGCTGCTGAATTGATTATTCGGTAAATATTAATAGTTGATTATTTTTGTATATATGTATAGAGTACTGTGGGGTAAAATGGACATTTTAGACTTTTTTAAAATTATTCGTAATTCAGAAACAAATTTATCAATTGAGCTCAGTTTAGGCTCGTCTCAAAGGGAAAGAATTGTTCTTTGTATTGAAAAAAAATTATTGAATTTCATCAACATTTCAACCCCTCATTAACATTTTAAAAAAAGTCAAAAGTGTCCGTTTTAGCCCAACCTCCCCTATATGTATGATCGTAGTATGGCCGAATAGTCAATTAGTAAGAAACCTTTCTAGCACATATAGTTTTCGAGAAAAAAAATGTTGAAATGTTGAAAAATGGCTAAAATGAAGGATTTGAAAAATTTGTAAAAAAAATGAATTTGGACGTAGGGGAGGTTGAGGTAAAATGGACACTTTTGACTTTTTTTTAAATATTAGTAACGGGTTGAAATGTTGATGAAATTTAATTTTCATCACGCTGTGACGAAAAGTGAACTTTTCGGCACGCTCCGCGTGCCTAAAAGTCCAATTTCCGCCACATTGTGATGAAAAATATTGTTCGTAACTCATGAAAAAATGTTTTTTGCACTCGTTACGAAATATACTATTTTTTTTTCAATACACAGAACAATTTTTTCCCTTTGAGATGAGCCAAAACTGAGCTCTATTGTTACATTTGTTTCTCAGTTATGAATAATTTTAAAAAAAGTCTAAAGTGTCCATTTTACGATTTGTTTAGTGAATTCGATTTCATCCCAATTGATTGAGTCAAAACGAGTGAAAAAAATCTTGAAAGTCTCACTTTCATGATTTTTCTTGTGAAATCAAATGTTCGGAAGTTGATTGCACACACTTTGATGCACGCCAATTTAAAATCTATCTACACACGTGTGTTAACCTTGACTTGACTTAACATGAAGTTTGAAGATGCCTTTTCTGCAAGGCAAACGGTTAATTGCTCTTATGAGCAGTCACCCTCAATTGTAGAGAGGTTTAGTTGCTGAAATAAACTTGAAAAATAAAAAGATCAACGCACAAGGTTAACACACGTGTGTAGATAGATTTGAGATTGGCATGCATCAAAGTGTGCGCAACCAACTTCCGATCATTTAATTTGACAAGAAAAATCATGAAATTTAGACTTTTTCGAGATTTTTTCCACTCACTTCGACTCAACCAATTAGGATGAACCCAAGTGCACTGAACAAATTGCATTTTCATTAATCCATTGTATTTTTTGTGGAAAAAACTACGTCAAAATTCATTTTTTTATAATTTTTTGAAATTGCCCTTTTCAGCGACTTTTCAACACTGCAACATATTTTTTCACGAAAACTAAACGAAAGATTTTTCAAAAGACCTTCAAAACCAGCATCAAAACATCTATAAAGTGCGGTCAGTCTCATTTTGAAGGCCAACGACGTCCGAATTTTGTCGAGCCATATTATTCCATAAAGACAGACAAATTACCTCATCGAACTCCAGATCAAACTCATCCTTTTCGCTCATGGCTCTACCATCACCGAATTCTAACCACAATATCAAGTGTCAACAGCTCTGCCGAAGTCCCTTCCTCTCACCGACAACCCTCTCCTTTCACCGGAAAATAATTAAAACCTGTCCCTCCCGTCTTTTGCCCGCGCTGCCCCTCTAAATCACAACGAAAAAACGTCAACAATGTGAACAAAAAACCCAACACCAGGAAAGACTCAATCCCAAATTCCCAACAACTCCAAACTCACGGAAGCCGAATAAAATCGTAAACAATTTCCAAGTTGTGCAAATTCTGCATTTTTCCAGTGGCGTGCCGCCATCTCGCGTCAGCTGTTCGTCGAATTACGTCGGTAATATAAATTCCTCGACACCTCTACGCATGTGCAGGTCCCCCTCCCGCCATCCTGCGCCTCGGCGAGCCGCCGGTGAGGTCGTTGGGAAAACAATAATCCTAATTTTCCAACATTTTCTGAAAAATTGTGAAAATCCATTGAGACAAATTGGAGAAATCCAACGTGATCATTTTCTCTCAGACTCAGTAAATGGATCTCACTATCTGTGCGGTAATTACGAGTAATCATGGACAATTGTCGTCGTTATATGACCCCAAACATCGAGGAATTGCCTGGAAATGATAACAAAGGGTGAGTACAATCTTTTCGGCCTCTCAAATGACTAGAAAAGTGTAGAAAAAAAATTGCGATTCAATTCGCCGGGGACGGCTTTATTTTTTCGTAATTTATTTATTTATTTATTCATTTTTTTATGGGAATTGTCTATTGTTGGGGTTTTTGTTGGGAGTTAAGGGCGCACAGAGTGGTGCCATCGTCTTTTGTCTCCCAATTTTGAGTTTTTTTTTCTGGGTTTTCCTGGTGGAGGGAGGGGAGGACACGCAAATGGGAGAATTGGAAGGATTAATGGGGGTTTTCTAACTATTTTTTATTCTTGATTTTTCTGGAAGTTCCTGGGGGATTTGCTGTGGCAGAATTGTATAACCTCAAACTTCCTTTTCTTTTATTATGACGTGGGGTGACGAGAAATGAAGAGGGGTGGGAGTGGTTTAGTTTTGAGGGAATTTGCGAGGGGAAATATTTACACAGTGGCTTAGACTCGCTTTGTTAAAGTCTCTGTTCAATTGATGAATCTCGATAATGACGTATTCTGCTCCTCAACACATTTCCAACATAGAAAAACTCTTCCAAAAATTATTTCAATCTCCTGATCTTCATTTCAATCGGTCACAAGTTCTTTAAATTTTATTGCAATTATTTTGGGATCGAATTATTACCTGTCATTATTTCTGTCATCTATAATGGATTGAATACTGTTGAAAGTCAATCAGTTTGAATAATTCAAATGTTCGATCATTTCTGAATGTTAATCTCTCTCATGTGAATGTAAAATGGCGGAGTCTCAGTAAAAATCAGAGAAAAGGAATTGAGATTTCCGGGGCTTCACGGAAAATTTTCAGTTGGGCATCTGTATTTTTCGTTCTTCAATAGCCAAAAATTCTCTCCAGTTTCTGTGGCTTTATCTCCCACTACTCGTCCACCCTCTATTGATTGCTCTACCGCACTACTGCCCTACTTTTACGAGCCACCCTGTCCCCTGCCCCCTCGCCGCGACTACGATCTCGTCATTCTCACCCCCTCGACCCACCCCAGTTCTACACGATTCCTCTCGTTGTTTCTCATGACTATCCATCCACCAATCGGATTCATCTCTCTAGAGCCTCGAGATTGACATGCCACTCCATTATAACGTTTTTATTGCAACGAATAAAAACATCGAGGAGAATATTCATGTTTTTCTTTACTTGAAGCCGAGAGATGTTGTTAATTATGCATACAATTGGTAATGAATGATTTAAGAAACAGCACTCGGCCCAATACCTGGACGATTTCGCCTTTTATTGAGTATTCTATAAATGAAAGAATGAAAACTCTTCGGATTATTATCATTATCAATAATAACACTTATGTATAATCATGTGATGAAGTTTTTTTTCTCGAAATATCAACATTACAGCGAGAAAAAAAATTAAATATTCGGGAGGTACAGTGCTGGGTTGCGTGGCGCTGCAATTTGTTAAACATCAGTGACAAAGTGTGGCACAATATTTTTAAAAGGAGAATCACATCCCGAAGACTAAGAATCGATTTGGTCTTGCATTTCTTCGCATTCAATAACACAAAATTCACCTGTTTGTATAGATTGCTGTAATAATTATAATAATTACTGACAAAAAAGGTGACGCCAATTGTTTAATAGAGGATTCAATCCTATTTTACTAAAGATGAAAGAAACGTGAAGTTGTTTTATATCGAAATATCTCGAAACATCCTGACCGCTAATCCTTAATTCTGATTGGTCAATATGTGACACGAAGTTATTCACAAAAAAAATAACACGCGGCATTTTCAAATTCTTCAGTGGTAAATTTTTTTTTCACGTCATATATATATATTTCACGTGTATATATATATCATCGGTGAAATTAATAAATTCTGTCCTTTTATGGAGACCAATTATTTAAAAAAATTGAAGATAATTAATTGAAAATGAAAAATTCTTCATAGATTCTTGTACTCTACTTCGCTATTCACTTCAATCATTAGTCGAATTCTCTTTGATTCATTACCAATATTGGTAAGGTATTCATGAGAAAATGAAATTCAATGAATTCCATTTCTTCATGTCAACATGAATAGATCAGCGCGCGCGATAGCGCGCGCATAAATCTTGTAGAACAAAACTCACATGTTTGTATAAACTGGACGAAAATTCTATATTCCTCCAGACGGCCCATGTATTGGCCACGCGGCATTTTCAAATTCTTCAGTGGTAAATTTTTTTTTCACGTCATATATATATATATTTCACATGTATATATATATCATCGGTGAAATTAATAAATTCTGTCCTTTTATGGAGACCAATTATTTAAAAAAATTGAAGATAATTAATTGAAAATGAAAAATTCTTCATAGATTCTTGTACTCTACTTCGCTATTCACTTCAATCATTAGTCGAATTCTCTTTGATTCATTATCAATATTGGTAAGGTATTCATGAGAAAATGAAATTCAATGAATTCCATTTCTTCATGTCAACATGAATAGATCAGCGCGCGCGATAGCGCGCGCATAAATCTTGTAGAACAAAACTCACATGTTTGTATAAACTGGACGAAAATTCTATATTCCTCCAGACGGTCCATGTATTGGCCTTCCATCGTCCATCTATTGGCCCTAGTATCCAGTTATTGGATTTCAGACGATATTCCACTTTTCCCTCATTTAATTATTTTTCTCTTCATTTTTTCCACTTCAAATTATTGTTTCCTCCTAATTCACATATTCTGCCAGGTGAATTCATAGAACTCATTTTTTACTCATTTAGCTACTGCATCGATTTAAAATCCTTTAAGGAAGTTCAACATTTCCTTAATCGTCCAGCTATTGGCCTGTTTACCCTACTGAGGAAATTTCTCATTGATCATTTGATTAATGAAGATTTTGCCTGAGTCAATGATAATTCTTCTCATTGGCATAATTGGCAAAAATGCAGGAAGAAATTTTTCTTTTAATTGAATAAGAAATGAGAAATGTAATTGACAAAATGAAAAGAGTTGGCTCGTCCTTGACAATTCCACTGGCTTTAGTCAGACCAGCTGGAGTCTAGATAACCGTCGGGGGGGAATAAAAGAGGGTGGCAGAATGCACATACCCCAGCGAGAGAGTAACTCCGATGTTGAATGCATTGAATTTACCTCGCATGTGTATAAGTGCTCCATAATGCAGTCAGGAAAGGGAAAAGCGGAATAATCATTGCAGTGGTGTGGCTCTGTACACGGTCAGACTGAGAATAATAGAACGCCCGAGAAGGAAAATAAACGGTTATCGTTTGTGCTCTGGGATGAATTAATAATCCATGGCTTAATTGAAATTTTATAACCAATCGCTTATGCTTCCATTTGTTATTAAAATAATTTGAATAATTAAATTTTTAAATGTAGTAATCTGCTGCCCATGAATGGATTTCAATGTTATTTTTACTATTACATAGTTTGGGGTCCCCAATCGGCTTTAGACTATAAGTTATTGTGCTGCGGTGCATGGTTTAGTATGGACTGTTGAAACTTCTAGAAAATTCTAGAGCTTTTTGGAAAATTCTGGAATATTCTCGAGTTTTTGAGAATATTTTTGAGATTTCAACAAAGTTTGAGGATAATCTCAGGAAAAGTAAGGAAAGTTTCTAGAAAATTCTCAGATTTTCTAGAAAATTTAATGGAATTTTCTGGTTTTCCAAACTTTTTTTTTTGTTCTAATTGAGCAATTTAATTTTAACCCTTGAGTGGTCGCACCTCTCCACCAAACGTATCTGGTCACGTGATGAGCGCTGCGCTATTCCGTGTTTTTCGAGAAAAAAAAGTTCAAAAAATTATGTATTTATGATTAAACGAGTAACATTGAACTTGCAACTAACAACTAATATTATTATTTCAGTATAAAACGAGAAAAGTGAAAACATTCAAAAACTGATTTCCATTCGGTGCGAAAATTTGACATTTAGAGGTTAAACACAGAGATTTCGACCGAGTCGAATTTTTAAGGAATTTTAATTTTTGATCCTTGCAAAGATGCGCAGAACAAAAATTGTTTAAATGTTTGACATGGGGGAAAGTAGGAATTCCAATCTTTTCAGATTTTTTCTCAACAACGTTTCAGCGTAAAAAATAAAAATCGAGACAGAACGGCGCTCGTGCCATGACGCAACCGATCGAGGGTTAAATTCTGATTGAGTAGCTGTATGGCCCGGCTTTGCCCGGACAGAATAAGAGAAAATTGAACACAGTGGTTGCTCCCTAACATTTCAGTCGGAGACGTTGACTTCCCCCACCATCGACAACGTAAATGTGTTTGGGTAAATCTGTGTGTCCCTCTGCGCAACGGGACTGCGCAGAAAATTACTCTCGGCGTGTGAGAGTGAAACAGGCAGATTCTCTCTCTCTGTCGTCTCTTTCCCAGCTCCGCCTCCAACGCAAGAGTAAGGGCATCCCGAACATTTAATTCCTTGAATTCTGCCCCCAGAGGCTGAAATGTTAGGGAGTAACCACTGTACAAAGATTTTTGAGAATTCCTGCAATTAAAAAAAACCACCTTAATGTTTTCGACTTTTCTGGAACACCCGAGAAGTCAAGACCATTTGATCGTTTTCCAAAGAAATTGAGAAAATTC